TTACGCTTAATCTACTTAATTTTTTGTCTTATTTTATCCTATAGATCCATTAACTATATGTGATGCAGTTGTCTACAATGTGATTAATTATGATATATTTAATAGTTGTCAATTTCGAACATATAAATTATAGCATAATAGGATAAACACCAATAAAAAAATTAAAATTATTGTTAGTCACAAAGATCACATAGAGTCATATAAATGATCTACCATAACCCTAATTATGAATTTAGCTAGATATAATATAATAGAAAATTAAAACAATAATAAATCAATTCATAATTATTCGAGAAATAAACACAAACTAAAAGAGTTTCCAATGGAAACGAGATTAAGCAAATTTTTTTATCGTAAGTCTCACTCCAAAAATTGTCAACATTTGACCAAAATCAAGATTATCAAGTCAACGTTCTCAAATTTCTTTGAATAGGGTTCCAAAATCCTAAGAGTTATTTTAAATTTGTTTCTCTCAATAAAAAGCACATCCATGCGTATCAATATGCATAATCGTGCATATGCCTCGAAGCTTGAGTGTGTTAACCCTATCTTTTATTCAATTTTAGCTAAAATGCATTCAAAACTCAATTATGATATTCAAATATTAAAATGCACAATTAATACAAAAATTGGTGTAAATTGCTTTCACATAAAGGTCAAGAACATAGAAATAGACTACAAAAGTATGCAAAAAATAAAGACTTATTAGCTATTAAATTTGGTTGCTAAATTAGTCAATAAATTTGATCTTTAAATTATTTGTTAAAATTTGTTTTAAGCATTGAAAAGTTGTTTAATAATTTTGAAAATTTGTTTAATGCTATAAAAAAATAGTTAAAATTAATGGATGATAACAAAATTTGAAATCTATTTAAGTTGTCTAAAGATTTAAAGCAAGTTGATTGTAAATAGATCTCTAAATTTAAACAAGACTCAAGGAAATGTTAAAAGATTTATGACTTAGATTTGTTGATAAAAGTTACTACCAAAATGATGATATTGATTATATAAAGGCATTTTCTTAGTTTAATTTTAAAAAAAAATTCTTTGAAAATTGTTATGACTTTAATGACTCATTATAATTTATAAGTTTACTAAACAAACATAAAGACTGTCTTTTCTAATATTGATTTGAAAGAAAAAGTTTTTATGGACTAATCTAAAGAATTTTTAATAAAAGAAAATTTAGTGTATAATTTGAAGATGTAAGAATTTATATTAGCTTCCTAACTATAATATTTTAAGTTCAATGATATATATATATATAGGGAATTTTAAATAAGAAGAGTTTGTTATTATAAGAAGTGAGAGATATTAATAATGACCATTGTATCAAAATAAAGAGTTTAGATTTAATATTGCTACTCCACTATCCGCTTTCTTCTCTTTTTTGCCAATGACCATTATATATTAATATCTTTCACCTCTCACTTGAAATGCCTATATATATATATATATATATATATATATATATATATATATATATATATATATATATATATAAATTAGTAAGAACAATATTTTTATTTTACTAATGTTGTCTTGTTACATAATGTAAAGAAATTTAAGTAAAGTTATAGAAATAAGAAATGATAATAGAAATGAATATATTTCATAATACTTTAAAATAAGTATTAAGATTGTCTCAAAAGTATTGTATCGAATAAAAGGTTAAAGAGAGGTACAATAAAAAAAAATGTTCATATGCCCTATCACAAAATCTTGCCTTAAAATGAAATGCAATATTATAGGAAGGATTTGAAAGAAAAACTATGAAGTTTTTTCTATATGGATTAAAGTTTGACAATTTAACGTATATTTATACATGCGCATGACTAGATACAAATTTTGCTATTAAAATCTTAAGCTGATTAATATTAAAGTAATCTTGAAGTATAACTATTTATAAAATTACAAAGAGAATCTTTAAATATTTATAAGATAAGAAGAATAACATGCTCACGTTTAGAAAGTTAGATCGGCTTGAAGTGATTAATTAGTCAAATTTAGATTGTATTGGATGTATAAACTAAAAAAAAAAAAATTTACTTTTAGTTACTTTTTTTATATTATTAGCTAGACGAACAATTTTATGGAAGAGTGAAAAAGTTTATCATTATTATGTTCCTATAAAGGCTGAATTTGTGGTTGTGACCAGACAATTAATAAAATTACACCACTGTACACAGTTAAAAAATTGAATCCTAAACTTGATTTTAGAAAAGTAGATAATTAAATTTATCCCATCCCAATCTTAGGTTGGGGTTAATCTTAACTTTTTAGGACCCTGTCAAAAACTAAAATTTAAAATTAATGATCAGTAAATTTAATTTTCTTTTGAAAAATATTGATTGATGGTGTTATTTAATAGCTTGATTAACAATAACCGATGAGATAAAGTGTTTTTTATGATCAAATTTAAAGTAAATTTACTATTATGTTTAAAAACTATGAAATAGAAATACTTGTAATTTTTATTATTTTTACTACATGAAGCATTTTGGCATTTTGTTATTACTTCTTTTCCGTATGTGGTAGGCGGTTCATAACACTAGTATTGTTGTACGTACGAATGTTAATAGACGCACATGTTACTGCAGAGTTTTATACTTTGAATTATTATAATGAAAGGCCAATTTTATTGTTAATATTGTAAAAACACCCTAAAATTTTGTCAAGTTTAAACTTTATGTTACAATTAAAATTAAGTTACCAATTTTATGATAAACTGAACATGAATCATAGCATTGATGGAGAAGGACAGCGTTTATAGCATTGTAATAAACAAAGGGTTCAAAATTAAAGAAAGGAACGGAGAAGCACGGTGATCATGGCATTGTAGCCAACAAACAAGGGTTGAAAAACAAAGAAATAAAAGAAGGGTAATTAGTGCACATATTTAAGAGTAGACCATGCAAAATAAAGTGGGCCACTAACCGTCTAACCAATTAACATTGAAAAACATGGGTATGGACTATGGTCAAGCAGAAGTTAGATTGCAAATTACAATATTAAGGTTAAAGTAAATATGGTCTGGCCAACAAAAGTAAAATTTGAATTTGGGAATCAATATTTGAGAAGGAATGGAATGACAGGATGAAATCAGCAGATTCCTCTATAGACGGCTAAAGCAGGGTATGTAGGCCCTTGGTTCTTGTCATCTTGTAAGCAGAATCACACCAACTACGAACTTTGGTATCAAAGATTGGTCATTATTTTATGTCTTCAAGTGGCCCTAATTATGAAGATTTCAAAGTCAATCCCGCACAACTGCCCCTGCTTCCTTTCCAAATCACTCTCCAATGCCACCGTCCCATGGCGTTTTTCCAGCTCTTTCTAGTCCCATCTATCCCTTGTTTTCATCATCACATTATTTTTGGTGACGTTTGTGCATTTCATGGTTAAATTTTACATATTTCTTCATTCTAATACCATGTGAAATTGCTGTATATTTCATATATTGTCGAAAATTTTATAATATTCATTTGATAAATTGATTATTATTAAATTTCATGATAAAATTTTATAATTGATACATTAAGTTTGGAAACCCTTCCTTCTCCTATGCGGACATTGCTTTCAGGTTATTGTTCTTGAGCATTTTAGGATTATGTATGTTATAACTAAGTTCAGTTAAGTGTCTATTGACTGCAGATTGAAATTAGATATAAACTTGGTTAACTTTCTTTTTTGTTAGTCTATTGTTATTTTTATTAAAACCTTTAATATTTTCTCATTCCAACTCTGTCTAATTGATCATTTGATGATTGTTATACTATCATTTAAAAATAAAAGATAAAATTCAATGATTGGAAATACCCCGGATGCTGGCAAAATCTGTGTCATATTGTTATTATTAAGTTAATGTTCTTTTTCGTCTTTCAAAGAGCAAGAAACCAATTAAAGTTTGAACTTGAGCACATGGTTTTAATAAGTTCATTAGCTTCTTTACTTTAGTTTATAAAAAGAGAGGTTCAAAGTTGGTGCAATTGTAAAAGTATAAAAAGATGACTGACTACCATTTTTTTTCTCTATTTTCTTTTTATTTTTTTGGCCATTTCTAATTGGTATCAATGGTACACGATATGGGGACAAAAATTAATGGAAACCATTATACATTTCTTGATTAGTGGGAAAGGTTTGTCTAGGATAAGTAGACAAGAAATAAACAATGTAACTTATTAAATACTACACCTAAATTCAATGATAAGATGACCATGAACGGGTCACACTTCACAAGTGATTTTAATTAGTGCAATTTATCTCTTTTCTTCCTGTGTGTATTACTTTGCCATAATTTTCTTGATGCCGTGGAGGTTTTGAGTTATAATAATGCAAATTGCACCTTTTCTCGTCAACCATCATAATTAGAAGGAAAATGATGTTTAGTACAAAAATATTTCGTACGAAATTAAATGAAGAGTTACAATGGGCATTTAGCACAATAAATGGTCATGAATGCTCTTTATCTATGCTTCCACACGACCTTAGTCACTTTCAAAATTTGTCAAAATTCTTAACATATCATTCGTACTCAATTGCCATTCTCTAAATATAGAAGGCCATATTGCGGCTTTTATGAACAAATTGGTCCTCTCAAAGAAAAATAACAGTAGGATAGGTGAGAAAAAAAATCTTTAACTCATGGAGCACCAAGCAACTCTACTCATAAGCCATTACAAATAAGCTAAATCAAAACAAGACAAATTAAATGCACAACCAAAGAAATTGAAATGCTTCATGTCTGCCACTTAAAATGCAAGAATTTTGGTGTCCACCACATTTTAAAATGCTGCCATATACTACTACCCCACATGAACATTGATAGAGCACAAACGAAAACAACCATGCAAAGCCAGGATGGCAAATCTGTAATTAAAGGAAACACACAGTGCAATTGCACATAGCAACTGTTCTACGTCCACATTTATATAGCACACGTCCGTTGCCACCTTCAATGCCAACACTTAAAATCAAAGCCTTCATAGTTACTCCCAAAGATGCAAGCTAAACTTGTCCACAACACCCGAACATACATTCCTCCACCCATTAAACCACCGCCTCCGGTGCATCAAGCACCCTCTCTGCCACCAACCAAGCCTGGAAAAACACCTATATCCGCACCCAATACACGGGTTCCCGTTCCAATTCCACCATTCAAGGAACCTGATGACTCAATAGCTGCCTATTACGACTACCAATTTTTGTTCATTTCACAAAGATCCGAAACAACTCAACCCATTAACCTAACCGTGGTGGATGGCGATATTCCGGTGGATTTTCCCTCCGGCACGTACTATCTAACCGGACCAGGGCTTTTGGCCGACGATCATGGGTCCATGGTGCACCCTTTAGATGGCCATGGGTACCTAAGGGCATTTACATTTGATAATGTTTCTAAAAATGTCAAGTACATGGCTAAGTACATTAAAACTGAAGCACAAGTGGAGGAGCATGACCCAAAGACCGACAAGTGGAAATTTACACATAGAGGCCCATTTTCAGTGTTGAAAGGTGGGAGAAAGGTTGGGAACACTAAGGTCATGAAAAATGTGGCTAACACTAGTGTACTCAAGTGGGGGGAGAAACTCCTGTGTATGTGGGAAGGTGGGGAACCATATCAGATCCAAGCCGGTACGTTGGATACCATTGGCCGCTACAACATGATGGACGGTGGTGATTTGAAAGATCTTGATGAGAACCACGGTGGTGATGTTTGGGAGGTTGCTGCCAACCTATTGAAACCTATATTATATGGTACGTATTGATTGATAGTTTCGAATGATTAAACAATATGATTTTTAACAACTTTTAGAGACAACCATCTCTCTAAAAGTTGCTCCTTTTACTTTTTAGATGTATTTCTTTTATATATACATGTATAAAGGATAAAAAAAAGTTAAGTAAAAGATAAAAAATAATTTTACATGATATTATGAATAATATCAATTTTTAATCATTCAGATTATTGAACCTAATAATTAAGTACCTACATTGGAGATTTTTTTCTTATATAATGAAAGAGGTTGGGATCAAATAAAATTATCAGTACTTACATTATTCAAATTTTGTTATGTATAACTGTACACTTATTTGTATTTAAGGAACAACTGGTTTTATTTAAACTTGAATATTTACTTGAATTAAAAATAAACTCAAGCATCTCACAAATTTGTGTGCATATATATGTTACGTATGCATAGTTAATCACAAATTTAAGTTGCATCATTATTGGTACTAAAGTTATAATACAAATTTCAAAAATTTGAAAGTGTTAGAGTTCTTACTTAAAATTCTAACAATATTGAGAGATAAAAAAAGAAAAGAGAGAAAAATATGGGATAGATGAGTAATGTGATAAAAAACAACTATAAAAAATGAAAACTTTAAATAGATATAATATCAGTCATGAAAGTAACAGACCTTTAACAACTTTGTATGAATTAATGTATAGAAGAAACCGCTCGCTCTTTCCTTCTCCATATATGAACAGAAGAGTTTGAATAATAATACACACTATAAATGTCTATGACGTGACAGGATGGGCACAATCAAAGTGAATTATTTTTCCATTTATTATATAAATAGACACAAGAAAGGTACCAGAAGTTGTGATTATGATGTTGAATAATGGTAATCAACTTGATACTTAACAAAATAAAAAACAACTTGGGTGGGAAATGGTAGTTGGTTGGGCATGCAGTACAAGTATGGGACTCTAATTAAGCAATTCATTATAGCCCTTCCAATATCTGCCCAACAAAATTTTAAAAAAGTGAGGCTTAATGACACTTTCACTAACAAAGTTAGTGGCACACAAGGAATACATTTCCAAGCTAAATGTTTGCTGGAGTACTTACAAGCCATGTGACTCCAAACAATAGTTTATTTTAAGGGTCATTGTAGTTTTCCATGGGGAAATTAAATATAACTTTTCCTGTCACTTTGGCATACTTTAATTAATTTACACGTTAATGACATCGAATTTCACTAATGGGATGTTCGTACAAGAATATAATCCGTTTTATAATATTCTATAATATTAAAGTATTTGTTTTGTTTTATTTTATTGAATACAGGAATTTTTTTATTTAACTAATGGGATTTTCGTACATGAATATAATCTGTTTTATAGTATTCTACAATACTAAAGTATTTGATTTGTCTTTATTTTATTGAATACAGGAGTGTTTAAGATGCCCCCAAGAAGACTCTTGTCTCACTATAAGGTGGATTCTAGTAGGAATAGGCTACTCACTGTGTCATGCAATGCGGAAGACATGTTGCTTCCACGCAGTAATTTTACAATTACTGGTAAGTAAACTTACCCAAGGTTTAAATAAATTCTGTTTAATTAAATTGAATGTTCATCTTAATTTCCTACGGAGGCTTAATTTTGTAGTTATCTTCTTAGATGTATTTATGTATATATGGCAGAATATGACTCAAATTTCAAAGTAGTACAGAAGCAAATTTTCAGAATCCCAGATCACTTGATGATCCATGATTGGGCTTTCACGGATACCCATTACATAGTATTTGCCAATCGCATAAAACTTGATGTACTAGGTAAGAATTGATTCGTGCAAATTATTATATAAATATTTCTTTGTTTGTCTGTAATAAATGTTTTAGGACGTGTGAATATCACAAAGTGAATAATCATTTTCCTAATTGATGTCAATAATATATAACTAGATCAAAGTCAAGTGGTAAAGTTATTTTCTAAGTTTAATACATGTTATATTTTACTAACGTTACATATACTAAATTTTAAAAATGTAAGCATTCGTACGTAATTTAATAGTAAAAAATTGTTTAAATATATTTTAAATAATATATTATATATTAAAATAAAAAATATGATACAATACTAATTATATTTTTAAATTTTATACAATATTATAAATTCAATTTATTTCGCAGGAATTTTCAATTTAATAATTAAATTAATGATATTTATCATTTATTAAAAAATGTCGAGACTTATATAAGTGGATCTTGTTTGATATATATATATATATATATATATATATAACAGTAACAAAATCTTGAGGGATCACTTTCAATTTGACTAGCTCTATATATGATAGTACGTGCGCATGGAAACAAAATAATGAGGAAATGAACTTTTTCTATGTGATATGTTATGTCAAACATATCTTAAATAATAGTAGCGCTTTGCTTAAATATATTGGTCAGGATCAATGGCTGCAGTGTATGGGATATCTCCAATGATATCAGCATTAAGAGTGAACCCAAGTAAGAGCACATCGCCCATATACTTGCTTCCTCGGTTTCCAGACAAGCCTAAAGACAAAGAGAGAGATTGGAGAGTACCCGTTGAAGCACCTTCACAATTGTGGTTGCTCCATGTTGGCAATGCATTTGAAGTTAGACATGTTCATGGGAATTTGGACATCCAAATACAAGCCGCTGCTTGCTCTTACCAGTGGTTGAATTTCAGCAAGTTATTTGGTATGTGGTTATATTGTATATATGTATATATGTTTATGTACGTGTTTAATGATAATGCATACGTATATGTGCATCAAAGAGAAATTCAAATAAACTCGTGACACTCCTAATAAATATTTTCCCCTAACTAATTGAATGTGAGTGGGGGCGGGGTTTATTAGTTTGCTAGGCCTTGTCTATGGTAAAATTGCAAGGGGTATTAATTGTGATATAAATAAAATAAAAATTGCTTTTCTTAATCATACCCACGTTTCTTTAATAAAAACTCTAATTTGGTTAATTATCAGGATACGACTGGCAAAAACGCAAGCTGGACCCCGCAATAATGAATGTTAAAGGTGGAAATGAATTATTGCCTCATCTTGTTCAGGTATTGATGCTCCCTCTCCTTTATTCTCTGTCTCTTTGTATGTGTGTATAAAGTTGTCGTTTAAGTAAAACATATATATAATAGATTATTTTGTCTTCAATATTATCAGTTGTTTCTGATTGAATATTCTAATTCATCTCGACATATTGCTTTATTTTCTCGTTATTTCAAATATTTTATCATGCCTAAAGGATTAATAATGTGATAGATACCCCTTTAATTTCTTCTAACGCCTTAATTATTTTGGACTCCCTAAACGAACAAATTTATACCCACAAACGTAGTTTCTTCCTTTCTCCAATATTTATGAGAAATGTAGCAATACACTGTTAAATATACTTTTTTTAACACAAATTCTTTATCATTTATTGAAATTTATTAAAATTCATTAAATTGTCAGTGATGTTCATTTTTAAATAGCGAAATCCACATTTTTTAGTATATACAATATGAACTTCAATTAAAACAAAATATATGTGAAAAAGGATGTGTTAAAAGTGTATGTTCTTAGTTTTACATTTATATAGATTGCTCTATGCTCAATACGTTATACAATATAATGTAGGTGTCTATAAAATTAGATTCTGACTACAATTGCCAAGAATGTGATCTCAAGCCCATGAAGAAATGGAAGAAATCCGCAGATTTTCCAGCTACCAATCCAGCGGTTTCCGGCAAGAAAAACAAATATCTCTATGCAGCAACAACCTTAGGATATCGAAAAGCATTGCCAAGTTTTCCTTTCGATACTGTTGTGAAATTAGATCTAGAGAGTGACACTGCACAAACTTGGACTGCTGGAAGTAGAAGATTTATTGGTGAGCCTATTTTTGTTCCCAAAGGTGACAAAGAAGACGATGGCTATCTTCTTGTCGTTGAGGTAAGGATGACTATAATAACGGGTTCTTTGTTCCATATAGGCCTCCATATTTACAATATTCTCTTAAAAAATTGAAAATAATAATAAATTAGGGATAACTATCTAGCTTCTTGAAGGAATATACTGTAAAGAATGCTTTAATGACAAAGACATTTTTTTTTAAATTTTTAATTAGTTGTATGCGTTACAGAGCTATATTTGCCTTTCAATATAAATTAATCTACATTTAAATCTTGTTTAATTATAATTTGGATGTTGACTATTTTGTAAAAGAGGTTTTATTTAGTGTGCATATATAGAAGTTGTGGTAGGTCTTCGAATATATAAATTATAAGATGTTTCTAATGATGACATCAATTGCTTGTTTTGCAGTATGCCGTTTCAATGAGTAAATGTTATCTCGTAATCTTGAACCCAAAAAAGATAGGAGCAGATAATGCCCTTGTTGCGAGACTCGAAATTCCAAGCCACTTACATTTTCCTCTGGGTTTTCATGGTTTCTGGGCAGCTAGCGAGCTGAAAATCTAAATGATAGATCTTCTTTTATTGTAAAAATTATGAAATTCCATTCAAGGTTCGTATAAATGATTGTAGTTATGTGATAATTATGTGCAAATATATTTTATTATTTATCAATATATAGCTGTAAGTATTTATCTAAATCGAACTAGTTTTTTTTTTTTTTTCCTTTGCGTCGTGAATTGTATATGCGATGTGCAAGGGCATGTTTGTTTAAACTTGTAATTGACACGAACGGCGTGATACCAAAAGCTCCCATAAGAAGTAAATGATTTTTTTTTCTTTTACAAAATGCCATTTGGAAAGAACTAGGAATTTTAAAAAAAGATCAAATAATATAATTATGATAATAAGATATCGTATATTACAAAAAATCACTAATTATTTATCATTCCATCTATTCCTTTGGAATTGTACTTTATTTTAAAACTGTGTAAGAATTAAGAAAGATATTTAAAACTTTCATTTTCATTAGAACTTTTATCTAATTTTCGATTATAATTATTTATCTCTCTTATTACTTAGTTACCTAAGTTAAGAGTATAATTGATAAAAAGATAATCAGTGCATACTCTTGAACTTTTACAAGTGGCACAATAAAATTTATTAAAAAATAACAAATAAAAAAATGAAGAGATTAATCACTAACTAAATACCTACTCGTTTTCGTCAAACAGACGAAATAAACAACAAGAGTAAAACCGAATTTAAAAGAACGAAAACTCTAATTGAAAGAAAAGAAGGGTGTGTGATTTGAATTGTTCATTGTTTAAGACCGTTTAAATTCAACTATTCGTTTGATTGATGTTTGTATGGCCTGATATAATACTATTGAAGTGGAACTCGTGATTGCTTCTTGATTGGATATAAATAGAAATTTCGCAAACTTTGAAAACAGTTTACTGTTTTAAGTAGTATAGAATTGTTTTATGTTATTTTTAATTTTAAAAAATTTCTAAAATCACAAAATATATTTTCACAAGTTAGAACACTTATTTTTTTTTTTTATTTTAGAATTGTTGGAACTATTTTAAATTTTAATAATATTTTAAACGTATTTGTAAGGATTTTGATAAACGATTTTAAAAGAAAATGAAACAAAAATGAAAAGTGACTGTAAAATGAATTATAAAATTTTGGACCTTTTTGGAACTCCTAAGTCATGTGAAATACATGAAGTTGATAAAGACATTGGAATAAATTTGGAAGATTGAACCTTTAAATAAGAAAATACCATGATTTTGACGGTAAATGAATGTCAAAAATTCAAAATATTTGACTAAATGAGTGGTAGGACCAAAGAAATATTTTTAACTATAATGAGACTTAGGTAATGACTTAGAAATAGGGGAGAAATGTGACATTTCAAGAACAAATGTAAGAGGGGGTTCTTGGCTGGTATGTTGCATCTCAAGCACTTATGAGAGCGGGGAGAAATTATCAATGCAATGTGGCATGGACAAAGACTGGCTCTTGGCAGGCTTCTAGTAGTAAAAGACACATAAATGAATCGAACATACACTGAAATAAGAGGGATTCAGAAACTGTACAGGTATGAGACTATACAGTTAATGATAGCTTAAAGGAATTGATTAATACTACATATATAAACAAAATGCATTTACTTTTCGATATCCTATCTTGATAAATTCATATTTTGATATATTTTATAACTTATATTCATACACTTAAACTCTATTTTATATATATTTACACTAATTATGTTATTAATTATTGCAGTTTAGCTTAAAGTTATCATTAGTGCATTATGGAGATATTCTGGATAAAAATTAGATATTTTTAGTCCTTGGCAATGCCATGTTAAGTTGAGTTTGAATTTTTAATTTAAAATTTAAACTTAGATATAAAGATTTGGAGCGATTCTGACTATAGATAAAATTGATTTGAAAAGATAGAGTTCAACCGATTGGAAACTCATGGCATAGCCTATATAAAGAGGTCTTATGCTCCACACTTGAGAAATTTTTACTTCTTTATACACATTCTTCCCCTTCTTAGTTCTACCCAAACTCATCTTTGAGAGTTATTGGAGACCTTTGGCAAGGACGACAAACTTTTCCTTGGAGTCTAAGCAAGTGATTGAGAGCCCTTGCGGAGAACGATAATTCTCTTCATCTTCTACCTTTCTGGTTTCTTTTGTTTGAGTTTTCCTTTGTAGTTATGTGTTTATTTATCACGTTCTTTATAGTTTATTTTATTATGAGTAACTAAACTCATAGCTAAGGTTATGACGGATCCTACTACAAACTTTATGTTATTTTTACTTTAATGTTTGATTTTATTCTATTGAATTATATTGTGTATATTAAGATTTGATCATCCTTAGTATTCCATAGTTAGTTGTATTGTAGTATTATAGGTGATTGATAAGTTCATATTTTTATATATTTTATGACTTATATTTATACACTTAAAACTCTATTTATATATATTTACACCAATTATATTATTAATTGTTACAATTTAGCTGGAAGTTGTTATTAGTGCATTATGGAGATATTTTGAATGAAAATTAGATATTTTTAGTCTTTGGCTGTGCTATGTGAAGCTGAGTTTGAATTTTGAATTTAAAATTTAAACTTAGATATGAAGATTTGGAACGATTCTTATTGTGGATAAAACTAATTTGAAAAGATAGAGTTTAACCAATTGGAAACTCAGGACACAGTTTATAGAAAGAGGCCTTATACTTCACACTTGACACTCTCACTTCTCTACACATCTTCTTCCCCTTCTTAGTTCTACCCAAACTCATCTTTGAGAGTTATTGGAGACCATTGGTAAGGACGACAAGCTTCCCCTTGGAGTTCAAGCAAGTGATTAGGCACCTCTTCAAAGAACGAGAACTCTCTTCGTCTTTTACTTTTCTGAGTTTCTTTTGTTTGAGTTTTCCTTTGTGATTATGAGTTTATTTATCATGTTCTTCGTAGTTTATTTTGTTATGAGTAACTAAATCCATAACTAGGGCTATGGCGGATCCTACTGCAAACTTTGTGTGATTTTTACTTTAATGTTAGTATTGGTTTTCCCTTAATATTTGGTTTTTATTCTATTGGATTATATTGTGTATGTTAAAATTTGATCACCCTTAGTATTCCATAGTTAGTTGCATTGTAGGCGATTGTACTGCGTATAATTAACGGAACTATAGGATAAAACGAGATAAAGGGTTAGGTTAATCATACTTAATAAATTAACAAACTCATAGGGACTTCATGCTTTCTCGACCAATTACCTTGCATGATCATTGGGAGTGTTTGTTCAGAGAAAGGAATATTGATATTGCATAATCATTGGGTGTTAATAAAACTAATTATGAGTGGTTAACAAATATTTGGATACCAATATCAAGATTAAATTAATTAGAACATAAAAAGTACAGTAGGTGAACCCATAAGTCTTAGGCTCATCTCATCTAATCTCTCTTATATATTGTATTACTGTTCTTTTAATTTATTGTTAACATTAAGCTTTATTTTTAGTCTATTACAATCCCGTTATGTTTAAACAATCGAATCAAGTTATTCTTGGTACTTGAAAATAATCTCTGTGGGACGATAACTTGGGAACTCTTTTCAAAAACTCTTTTTACTTTTTAATGGGTACACTTGCCCACGAACAAATCAAAAAGTAATAAAGGGTCTACCTCCTAACAGATTTAACGCATGTGCGAGGAGAAAGCTTAGCAATAACTTCTATCTTAGCAGGGTCTACCTCTATACTCCTATTAGAAACTTTATGCCCCAAAAAAATGCATTCATCAATCATAAACTGATATTTTTTCCAATTTAAAACCAAATTATCCTTTTTACATCTTTGTAAAACCAAATCAAGGCTATGCAAACAATTATCAAAAGTGTTATCGTAAATAGAAAAATCATTCATAAAAATCTCAATACAGTTTTCCATTAAATCAAAAAATAAGGCTATCATGCATCTTTGAAATGTAGCGGAGGCATTTCATAATCCAAACGACATCCGTTTATATACAAAAGTACCATAAGAGCATGTAAAAGTAGTCTTCTCTTAGTCTTCCAATGCGACAGGTATTTGCATGTAACCTGAATAACCATTCAAACAACAATAAAATTCACGCCCCGCTAATTTTTCTAACATCTGATCAATAAAAGGAAAGGGAAAGTGGTCTTTCCGGGTGGCCTCATTGAGCTTCTTATAGTCTATGCACATATGCTACCCAGGTACTTTCCTTACAGCAATAAGTTCATGTTGCTCATTCTCCATAACTGTGGTCCCTCCTTTCTTTGGTACAACCTGCACAGTTTCGAATAAGTTCATGAAAAAGAAAATAAAATATAGCAAAAAGAAAAGAAAAATGGTTATATATGAATGAAAGGAGAGAGGAGTAAAAATATTGATTAGATGTAAAATATAAAAATTACTCCAAGAACTTCATTTGTAAACTTAAAGGATGTTTATATTTTTTATAATTTATTACCCTTTTGTACATTCCCTTCCTTTCATTTATCTCACCTCAATTATTATAACTCCTTGGCCACATTATAACCTTAAAAAGACCTCATAATTTTTACTTGCATTTAATTTATTTAGTGGAGAGTCAGTTTATAGTCAACCCTACGGTAGTACACTTTTCTTTAGGAGAAGTGAGTGATATCTCATTTTGTCTCTTAATGAGAGAGGAAAGTAGAGTACCTTAGTTTGACATTTGAGTGAAAAGTATGAAAATATAAGATTCTAATTAGAAATTCTTTTGATTACATATGCTCAGTGATATTACTCTTGTTGCTCTCTTTATCTCCTTTATCTCGGGTTCTTTGTGTGGTATTATGTTTCAAGTTATTATGTATTCTCTTAACCAACACTTTGCTTGAGGACAAGCAAACAGATAAGTATGGGGGAGTTGATAAGTTAATCGCGAGTGTCGCTCTCGGACAAATTAATAAAAACTGAATTGCATAAAAATTATGTAAAAAGAGGTGCAATCTGAGTCGTCTCTCAACGATGATAAC